AGAGAGAAGAGATTGGATTTATATCCCGTCCGTCACTCGGAGTCTCAGAGCGGCTTACAAAATCCTTTCTCTTCCCCTCCCCAGAAGAACAAACACCCTGTGAGGTAGGTGGGGCTGAGAGAGCTCTGAGTGAACTTCCTTGAGAGAACAGCTTTGACAGAACTATGGCTTGGCCAAGGTCATCCAGCAGCTGCAAGTGGAGGAGTGGGGAATCAAACCCGGTTCTCTCAGATTACAGTCCACATACTTAATGACTACACCAAACTACAGATTAGAGTCCACGCACTTAACCACTACACCAAACTGGCTTTGTATCATCTATTCTCAGAAAGATATCATTCTTTTTGGAAGAATGGTGTAACTTCAGACGTTATGCAGTGACAAGTGTATATTTCCTTCAGTACATCTGGCCAATCACATTTCCCTGTTCTTGTGTAATATATAGGATCGCGCCACATTGTTGCATGCATGAATTATGTTTAACTTTTGTAAACGTGCTAATGTCAATAACCGGCTTGTCATATGCGGGCCACAGAAATATCGACTGTGGTTGAAGATGCTGGTTGAATCTCCTTGCTGCATAATAGCCATTCAGAATACGTGACCTACTAGAATACGTGACCTACTAGAGACATACGTGACTCTGCATATGGAGCAGAGGTCCATCAGTGGCTATTAGCCACAAGGTATACATAGGGACTCTGGGGCAAGTGATGCTCTGTCTTCTTGGTGCTTGGGGGGGTCAACAGTGGGAGGGCTTCTAGTGTCCTGGCCCCATTGGTGGACCTCCTGATGGCACCTGGTATTTCTGGCCACTGTGTGACACAGAGTGTTGGACTGGATGGGCCTTTGGCCTGATCCAACGTTGGCGTCTCTTATGTTCTTATGTTTACTGATCCTATCCACCAGGAGAGAGATCAAGGTGGGTCGCCGTGTTTGTCTGTCACCGTAGAAAAGAGTGAGAGTCCAGTAGCACCTTCAAGACTAACAACATTTGCGGCAGGGTTTGAAAGCTCATACCCTGCCACAAATTCTGTTAGTCTTGGAGGCGCTACTGGTCTCTCAATCTTTTCTAGTATCCGCCAGGGCTCAATTGACCTTCTATTCCTTGCCTCCTTCCCTGAACTGTGATAATAGGAAACTTGGGACGAGTACATGGGTGTTGTACTGCCTAACACAGTTCATACATGTCCACTGTATGTTATGATATGGGGCCTGATTGAGTGTCCAGGCAATTTTCATCTGGGTAAATGCTATCGGGAAGCTCCCACGTTCTCCCATTTGCCGCTCGTGCTTCTTGTATCAGTGTTCGCGTAGAACAATGCAATGATACAGTCGCGGAGAAAAATCCTATTTTGGACAGATCTCTTCCCCTGAAGTTGGACGAATCACTTCCCCCGAAGTTCACAATATGGACCTTGCCTAAGATCATTAAGAAAGAATTGGGTAAATGCATGGCAACGTGGCCATCGGGAGGTGAGTGAATGATAAAGCTGCTCCCCATGGCTTACATGCTACCGTAGCAACAAGTATCAAGAGCTACAAGCCAAGGGGACTTTGCAAGACCCATGATGGACGAATCACTTCCCCCGAAGTTCACAATATGGACCTTGCCTAAGTTCATTAAGAAAGAATTGGGTAAATGCATGGCAACGTGGCCACCGGGAGGTGAGTGAATGATAAAGCTGCTCCCCATGACTTACATGCTACCGTAGCAACAAGTATCAAGAGCTACAAGCCAAGGGGAATTTGCAAGATCCCTGATGGACGGTTGGGCCTAGTGGGCAACATGGACTGAGAAATAATCATATTGTTGGGGACGCACTGTGGCTTAGTGGGAGGGCCTCTGCTTTGCATGCAAAGGGTCCCAGGTTCAATCCTTGGCATCTCCCAATGAAAGGTTCAGGTAGTAGCTGACGGGAAAGACGGCTATCTAAGGCCCTGGAGAACCACTGCCAGTCCGAGCAGGCAATACTGACATTGATATGACCAATTGTCTGATTCAGAATGAGGCAGCTTCATGTATGTTGCGCCTAGCCAATGTGGTTATCAGAGTGACACGTGTCCAGACCACGCAAAGTGGTTCCATGTAAGGACAAATACTGAACTGGCCCTTAGCTATCTATAACTGATTAGAAGTCCACCGTAGCAGCAAATGACTACACCCCTTAGCTATCTATAACTGATTAGAAGTCTACCGTAGCAGCAAATGATTATCCCGCGGAACTGATATTCATGATGATGGCAGATGCATGAAATGGCATCTGGTGGGTCGGCATGTTTCTGGTACCCAGTAAACATTCAAAGTAAGCATAAGGGTGCGGTGCGGAGAGCAGTTTGCCCATTCTGTCGGTGAATTCAATACAGACATAAAAAGGGGATGTCCGTGAAGCAGGGCTATTTTGGGGCAGGAACGCACAGGAACAGAGTTCCGGCTGGCTTCAGAGTCGGCCACGCCCACTACAGCCAAAACCTCTGCGTGCATGGCTACAGAGGGAAGGCCTGGAGAGCGACCCCCCCCCAGCAACTCCGAGGCGGGTGGGCCAGGGGGGTCCTGGAAGGATTTAAATGCCTCCCTGTGCCTTCCCCATCCTTCCCTTCCCTTCAAGGGGGGGTTGCCCGAGCTCCCTGCAGCCACGGGGCGCCAAGGCAAGCCAAGGGGGTGTGGCCCAATATGCTAATGAGCTGTGCTTTCAGGGGTGTGGTCTAAAATGCCAGCGAGTTTCTGCTGTCAGGGGTGTGGCCTATTATGCTAATGAGTTCTTGCTGGGCTTTTTCTTAAAAAAGAAAGCCCTGCCATGAAGTATTCCTCAACATGAAGAGAAGGGGGTCACTCCATGTGCTTGGGGAAACTGGAGGGCATCTAATCAAAGGGCTGGTCTTAATGGCAACTTTGAAGGATTTTGAATGGACTTGGGACGGTTTCTAGGAACAAAGGAGAGACAACAGGGGCTGTGTACAGCTTCCCAGAGAACAGCAATAAAGTTAACTTAATTGCCCGCTTGCATCCCTCAGGTGATACATGCAAGATCAGGCCTGATGAACCAGTTTTCAACCCTTCTATGTGACGGCGAGTTCAAAAGCTAGCACAATATCATCGGATGACTTGGTTGGTCCTAATAAAAAGTATTATATTGATCTTGTTCTTTTTTGGGGGGATTTTGCATGGACTAAGGAGGCTGTACCAGTTTTCCAACTTGCAAATAAGTCAGGGGAAAGAAACATATAAGAATCAGAGTGTGGACAGGGGTCAGGTTTCTTTTGAGTAATGCTCAGCAGAGTTTATCAATAATGAGGATTTTTCTCAGAGAGGATTTGCAATTTAATGAATTAGGCCCTCCTTATCTCTCCAACAAAGTGGATCAATGCCAGGATACTTGGAATAAATTTATGAAGGAAAGGAAAGAAATCTGTTTAGTACTTGCTTTAAATTTCAACAACCGACTTTTTCTTTCTTTAAAAAGAAAGTATTATCACTGCAATGTAATAACACATTCTTTAAAAATCTTTGCATTTCAAAATAATACTACTGTTTAGTATTCTTGTTTTGGCTAAGGAAACGCTTCAGATACACATATATAGATATATCCAAGCTTAAAAAAATACTGGTGGCTAAAAGTACACTCTGAATTTGAACTGGACAATTGGAACTGACGATTTTAAAAAGACGATTCGTCACACACAGTTTGTGTCCATGCAGACTGATTTCCTTCATTTTTTTATAATTACATTATGTACAAAAGAAAAAAAAAAAGAAATTACTTTTTCAGTTTATTAAGGCAACCACAACTTGGAAAAAAAAATTTGTCCAAAGTGGCTTTAATACAACTGCAGTGGCGATACCCTTTGAACGTTTTGAATATTATTATTATTTTAGATAAGAACACTTATTCCGTTATTTTAATTGAAACACTTGCCAAGAAATGACATGATTTTGTTTCCCCTCTGGTTTCGTTTTCTGTGTGGGTTAATTTTTTTAACTACATTTACTGTTCTTTATTAATTAAAAGTCAAGGCATTTCTACACTGCTTGGACCCAATCCTGCAATCATTTTTACACCCAGGGTTTCCTACAGACTCGTTTTTTTTCGGTAAAATTTTTTGCAGGCATTGGTAAGCTCTTGCTAACATCATCAATGGGAACAAGAAGTCACCATGTCGGAAGGCTTTATATGTCAGTGAAAGATCATTTTTTTGCTTTTGATGTGAGACACTAAACTATTCCATTGCTTTCTAGAAGAGTGCTCGGTAAAGTAGAGCTCTGGTACTATTGCCTATGGCGCTCACCATTTGCTTATTTGCATCGAATTATGGAGGCAAGGAGGGGGAAATGGTCAGATTCCGAACTAGTGAGTCAGATCTCTTGGGATCCAGTAGCCCGAAACCCAGCAAACGTTTCTAAAACACCCCTATAAAAATAAAAAAGACAAACATTGACAAAGCAGATTAAAACCAAGAGAACAGTTGAGGAATCTACACACTCACTCCTTATTTGTTGTTGAAGTTGTTGAAAAGCAAAAGTTCCAACTGTGATTTCCATTCTGAGGATTGCCAACGTTTTTACCGGCAGGGGCTCTTGCGCCTTTAAAATCACTGTGGCAGGGAGAGCTTTCAACAAACGTGAATTTTCCCACCGCGGCTCTGCACCAGTCAAAGAAGCTGCCCCGACGCCATTATCCTTCACAACCACATTTGTCAAAGAGGCAAGCTCCTCTGTTCAGAATGACATTGACAATTCTCATATGGCTATTGTCAGTCCCCACTGCGTACGAATCTTTAGTGACTCTGAGTGAACCCCCTTCTCCTTGGAGACACGAGAACCACAACACTGATTTGTACCAGAAACTCTACAAAGCAGATCGTTACTTTTTTGGGGGGAAAAGAAATCTTCCGCAGTACCCTCTCCCGTACTATCCCGTACTAACGCCAAAGATGTGTCATTATTGAAATTATTATTATTATTATTATTATTACTGGTTGTTCCTATCTGAACTCTTCATGGCTGCTGTGCTACTGAAATGCAGAGCAAGTCTGATCCCATGGTAGGTGCCGAACAGACCTGCCTAATGCTGTGCTCCAGGCCGTGTTCCCGGGGCGCTAACCGTCCGGCACTGTCCTATGATCAGCCACGTCTGCAACTAGGGAAGGGTTTCACTTTCGCTTCCTCTAGTTTTCCGGTGCCTCTTGACTTTTACTTCATCCTCCTCCTCCTCTGGATGTTGCTGAGATTTGTTTTTTCTTTTCCCCACTCTGGCTGTCCGTGGAGGGGGCGGTGGCGGAGGGGGAGGCTGCGTTGTCTCTCGGGCCATATGTACGACGGCCTCAATGGTGGCCGTGATTGTATCTTGACTGGCTGCTTGTTCCAATATTAAAGGGTTCAGTGTGAATCGCTGACCTCGTTTGCAAGGCAGGTCGACGCATTTTTCCAAAACTGGCATTTGGTCTCTGGAGTCTTCGTCAAATGAGAGGGGCTGCTTGCGGGGACGCCCTCTCCTCTTTTTGACAAAGTTATTGCCCGTCTTTGATTGTCTCTGCAGCCGCTTGGCTTTCAGGATTTTGTTCACGTGATCCAAGTTCTTTTTCGTGGAAAGGATCTTGGTGTAGTTGCACATCTTGCGCACCTCGCACTGGATTGCTTCGATTTCACGGCGCTTGAAACGTTTCTTTAACGGTGAGATGGCTGCAGGGCGAGAGAAAACAATGATCATTTCAGTTCTGGAGCCAACCGGACTGTCAGAGGGCTCTTCAAAATAGCTGCCGAAATATGATTAATGCAGGCCGATATAAAGATTCCCTGAGACTGGAGATTGTGAATAATGGTGGAAAGACGGAAAACTGCATACAACACAGAGAAATATTTCAGTATTATTTATTACAAATACTACCACAGCAGAGCAGCTATATTTATATTCTGTGTCAGTTAGCAGGCCATTAATATTACCTTAGCAGACTGACTGAATTAATGAATGAAAATTAGTAACATACCAACAGCAAGACAACATTTCTGTTTTCTAATCAAGATGGGCACAGATCCACTTATAAGGCATGAATTCTCGCAACGTTAATAATCTTGTCTCCTCCTAGCAGAGATACATTTTGAAATGTCTAGGATTTTATAAGTCCTTTTTGCCAATCGGCTTAAAAAAAGACAGACAATTAATGAATCAATATCCAGCACTTCCAAATGCTGTTTGAAGTGGCTTATGGGAGTCTGAGTACAAACATACTTAAAATATGAAGCCACCTTTTCAAAACAATCAACCACATTTGCTGAAAAGGGTTTCAGAGGGCAGCCACGATTCGAGTCCAGTAGCTCCTTAGGGATCAACAAGATGATAGTGGCCTATAAAACTACGCCTGCAATGGAGAGAATCGACAAAGATAATTTTTTCCTCCCTCTCCCAAAATACTAGAACTTGAGGGAGTCCAATGAAGCTGATAGGCCAGGGGTGTCAAAGATAAGGCCCGGGGGCCGGAACCAGCCCACCCAGGGCTCAGGAGCCAGTTTGGTACAGTGGTTAAGTGCGTGGGCTCTAATCTGGGAGAACTGGGTTTGATTCCCCACTCCTCCACTTGCAGCTGCTGGATGACCTTGGGCAAGCCATAGTTCTCTCAGAGCTGTCCTTGAAAGGGCAGTTCTGGAAAGAGCTCTCTCAGCCCCACCTACCTCACAGGGTGTCTGTTGTGGGGAGGGGAAGGGAAAGGGATTGTAAGCCGCTCTGAGACTCCGAGTGAAGGGCGGGGTATAAATCCAATCTCTTCTTCTTCTTTGGCATCCCGCGAACAACTAGTACATGGGAGGGAAGAGGAGACTGTTTGGGGGAGTGGGCAGAGCCACTCCGATTGTGGCTTCAGCATGGCAGAACAACCTCGTCTGCAGCAGTCAAGTAGTGTAGGAGGGTCTGCCCAGCTGCACTACTGTCCAGTCTGCCCATATGGGTTTTCTTTTGCACCCCCCTCCCAGCCCATGGGGCACTGCAGTGAGCAGCTTACCAGCTGCTGTCCTTTATGCAGTTCATACCTCTGGTACCTAGCATTACATTTTTTGGCACACAGGGTCTTGGCCCAGCCAAAGTGACATTTATGTCAGATCTGGCCCTCGTAACAAATGAGTTCGACACCTTTGTGATAGGCAGTAGGTTCAGGACGGACAAAAGGAAATACTGCTTTACGCAGAGAGTGATTAAAATGTGGAATTCGCTGCCAGAGGATGTAGTGATGGCCACACGAATAAACAGCTTTAAAAGGGGTTTGGGTAGATTCACGGAGCATATGTCTATCAATGGCTTCTAGCCATGGTGACTGAGGGGAACCTCCTCATTGAGAGACACCAAGCCTCTGAATCCCGGAGCCAGGAGGCAAAATCAGGGGAAGGCCTTGGCCTCTATGGCCTGTTGATGGACTTCCAGAGGAACTGGTTGGTCACTGTGTGAGGCAGGATGCTGGACTAGCTGGACCACTGGTCTGATCTAGCAGGTCTCTTCTGATGTTCTTATGAAGGCCTCAGCCTCTGTGCCCTGTTGTTGGCCCTCCAGAGGAATTGGTTGGCCACTGTGTGAGACAGGATGCTGGACTAGATAGACCACTGGTCTGATCCAGCAGGTCTCTTCTGATGTTCTTATGAAGGCCTCAGCCTCTGTGCCCTGTTGTTGGCCCTCCAGAGGAATTGGTTGGCCACTGTGTGAGACAGGATGCTGGACTAGATAGACCACTGGTCTGATCCAGCAGGTCTCTTCTGATGTTCTTATGAAGGTCTCAGCCTCCATGCCCTGTTGTTGGCCCTCCAGAGGAACTGGTTGGCCACAGTGTGAGGCAGGATGCTGGACTAGATGGACCACTGGTCAGATCCAGCAGCGGTCTTCTTATATTCTTAGGATTTTCGGGGTATGAGCTTCTGAGATGGTATCTGATGGAGGAAACTTTCCCTGTCAAAAGCTCATACTCCTGGAAATCTTTCTTTCTCGCTAAGGCGCTACTGGACTTGAATCTAGCTATTCAAGGCTAGCTACTTTGAGATGCTTTGATTCTCAAAAGCTTATACCTCAAATATCTTGATAGTCACTAAGGTGGACTGGACTCAAATCTACCTATTTTTTTTATATATAAAGCTATCAATAGCATATCGTGGCCAGGAACCAAAGCCCCACAGGTGGTGTTTTGCACCCCCTCTGAAGTTGCAACACGGTTATGGGATCCAACAGAGAACCATCCCATGAGATATGTCTGGGGCAGGATGAAAAAAGATATTACAACTGACCCCCCCCCCCGAACATTCTCATATGGTCAAGTACTTTCCACTGGGGCACTGTAGATGTGGTTGGGATTTTACTTAGGTTCTACATCTTAAGAAGGGGAAGGAGGTAAAGGAGACTCAGGCAAAAGGCAAGGCAGTCCCTAACTTGGTTTTAGCCCCTGCGGTCCTCCCCCCCACATAAAATAACATTCGCTACATTTACTGTTATGGATGTGGGGGGGGGGGAAATCATCCCACTAAGCTAGGGATCTATAGCAACCCCAAATGCCCCCCAAATACCCCAGGGGTATATTTTTGATAAGTCTTTAAGTTTAGTTTCTCACAGCACCAACAAGGAAATGAAAATTCAACAACCGTAGGTTAAACATACTGGTACACTGATGTCCCAGTACTTGGTCTGTTGTACATTAATGCTTTTTACAGAAATCTAACCATTTGTTAGGAGCTGTGGTGGCTCAAGTGGTTAAGACGCTGAACTGCAGGCTGTGGAAGGTCGGTAGTTCAGCAGTTCGAGACCCGAGTGTGCCACATGACGGAGTGAGCTCCCGTCTCTCGTTCCAGCTCCTGCCAACCTAGCAGTTCGAAAGCAAGAAATTGCAAGTAGATAAATAGGGACCACTTCGGTGGGAAGGTAACAGCGTTCCGTGCGCCTTGGTGTTTAGTCATGCCGGTTACATGACCACGGAAACGTCTTCGGACAGCGCTGGCTCTTTGGCTTTGAAACGGAGATGAGGACCGCAACCCTTGAGTCTGATTCGACTGGCTTTTGAGCAAGGGAACCTTTACCTTTACCTTTACCCATTTGTTGTGTTCACTTAGCAGTACTTAACTGTAAACCGTACGATATTTTTGTGGGCACCGTCGACATTGTGATGCCCCCTTTCCCATATTTCCCAAGAAAGGCAGCCATCGATTTAAAAAGCTCGTAGAGTAAGATAAGTTACTCACTACTTTAGGTTGTGAGGAAATCTGCCCTAAAATTAAAAGGTTCCACACCATCTCATACTTTTCAGATTTGTATAAACTCCGGTTTTGAGGTTTGTGGAAACCTCAACTGTATCCCTTGGCAGTTCTACTTTTTAAAAATATTTATTTAGAAAATTTCTACGTCGCCTAGGGTTGCTAGGCCTGGCCTGACAACCAGTGGGTGACTGAGGGGGAGGAGTCAGTGGGGACGTGGCTGTTGGTGTGTTGTCACTTCTGGGAAGAAACAGATATAACATTAGTACTCTCTAGGAATCACTGAAAACTCTTATGGTTTTACCCCAGTTCCAGCCAATTACTAGAGATGAGTGACATCACTTCTGGGGTTTCCCGGGAAGTGATGTCATGCTACCAGCTGACGGCCATCTAGGGCAAGAAATTCCCCACCCCCACCAGGGGGCTGGCAACCCAAATGCCGCCTCTCCAGAGAACCTGCCCAAGGTGGCTTACAAAACAAAACAAACAGAAACATAATGAAAGCGTAAAAGCTGTTAACAATTAAAAACCTAGCTGAAAATACTCAGCCAGCACATAAACAGCACAACATGCCTAGCAGCTTAGCTCGCGTCTCATACATCACTTTCCAGGATAAAACCAGACTATAAAAGTGATTGATATCACAACCCCCACACCATATTGTCTCGCCAAGAAAGAAGTCCAATACTGAATGGCCCAGCCTAGCCGGATCTGGCCAGATTTCAGAAGCTAAGCTGGGTCGGCCTTGGTTCATACTTGGATGGGAGACCACCAAAGAATACCAGGGTCACTAGGCAGAGACAGGCAATGGCAAACCACTTCCGAACGTCTCTTGCTTTCAAAACCGTATGGGGTTGGCATCATTCGACTGCAACAAGATGGCATTTCCCACCACCAGCTAGGGTTGCCAAACCTGTTTATTCCTGCGGCGTGGGGCTCCCGGACGTTGTCCCGAGCGCGCGCGCCGCATGCATGTCACCCGGATGTGATGACGGGGTGGGGTTTCCCCAGGGGCCCGATTCCGCGGCGGCGGAAATCGGGCCTTTAAAGCGGGGGGAAATCCACCCCCCGGGGGGATTTTGCAGCCCTACCACCAGCCCTTCTCTGCCTGAGATGTTCGTATACAGGAAATTCGTAAGTATCTTATGAAACGAGGAGAGCAACAACAAGAAAGTAGGCTTTGATTCCAGTAAAGGATAAAAAACATTTCCCTCTAAGTCAACTTCATTTCATGACTGGTTGCAACGTTAATTTGCACCTTCCTGTTTGAGCCGTCCTTGAAGTGTTTCGAGGGCGGCCAAGATTTCTAGGAAGGTTCATTTATCGACTACTGGCTAGATTAATGGGTAGCAATCTAATTCACACTGGCTGCGTTGAAAGAATAAAAGTCACCTCCGAGTCCTTTCATGAGAAAATGTCTCTGATGGAAAAAGAATACCACATGCACACACAAAGACGCACACACA